CTTCCACACTTCCCTCCTGGACTGCACCCCACCCCACACTAATGATAACCAATAAGGTAGAGCTGGTTATCACTGGGCTCATCAGGTAATTGTTTAACTGTTCATATCCCTACTTAGTAAAATCTAAAAGTAACAACTGATGTTTTGCCTTTCAGTAAGAATTGAGTATTTTGTGTAAGAGGGAGCCAGAGGTCCCTGTTACTTTAAGGTGGAGACTATCAGGATCAAGCAACTGAACCTTGTCTAGTTGCAAGAGAATAGATAAGTAGGGAGTTAAAGGGCTGCAAATAACTCCCTGGTAGCTGGCTGCAGAGCAATAGGGCAATAGGACAGAACTCCAAGGAGTTAGAAGGGAAGCTACTGCAGCTGAGGCAGAAAAACAACAGCAAGCTGCTCACTAAGCCTAGGGAGCACTCCTGCAGCTGGTCTAGGGAACACCTGACTGGAGGAGAAGTAACTCTGGGAATACAAACCAGGGTCCTCTGAGGCACAGGGACTAGTGCTGCTCTGAATTCTCTAGAGTGAAGAGCTCTGGCCAGCTTAAGCTATCAAGGAGCAAAGCCTGGAGGTACCCAGTGAGAAGGGAGGTCATCTGCAGCTGTATGACTGATGACCCAGAGGGGCTTTGTGAGGTTTTTTTTAAGCAAGCTGTTGGCATTTTGGTTTCAGTTTATACCAGAGGACTGGATTGTGGCTGTAGGGTGGGACTGGAGGCCATGCAGAGGTGCTTGAGAAGCACTCCAGTTTACAGTATAGCAGGTAGCTAGACAGATATTTAGACAAGTGCTTATATTAATGCTTTGGGGTATAATCAATAAAAGTTTGGGTGAGACACCTGTCGCTTGCCTCTTTACCTGACTTGGGAGGTTCTAATACCTTACCTACGAAGAGGGAATGGAGAATCACTGGGAAATGTTATTCTACTCTTTTTTGTACATCAAATCAAGATATCATTAGGGTCAGTTCCAACTCCCTTTACTCTATAACTAAGCTAGCAAAAGAGTCCTGATCATAGATGGGCTATAGTCTTGTCTCTTTCATGACCAAACAGTACTGGATTTTTGGAAATATAACAGCACAGAGCTACTTCCAAGTTTACTGCTTTGTGTATTTGCCTTCTTGAAGCTCCTGTCATCATCTCCTTTCACAGAGGCTGTTGAAACCTACATAGTGCAAGCTGAGCTTGACCAGGCACTCCTGATTTATTCATTTTAACATTAGAAATGGATCATGCCTCTGTCTGTGCTTTTTTAAGATTGCAGGCCAATCAGAACAACAGAGTAATAAAGGTCAATGTTGGTTTTAGGTGACCCTTGAGGGTATGCAGTGATGCAAAATAATAAGTAAATTAAAGCAATCCTTTTTGAGGCAAAGGAAGCTTATCTGTGCTTGTAGGATGTAGATGTGCTGGATACAGTCATAGTAATGAAACTAGTATATGTAACATAATGCCACTGGCCTGTATTTCCTGCACCAGATAAAACAACATTAACACAGTAGTCCGAAAGTATACCTACAGCAGTTCCACTGTAAAATCATGAATTAGAACATTTTTTTACAGAATAATCTACCACTAATTAGCAAATAATCCAATTTCTAATAATTCCAAAGGTAAAACAAGTAGATAAAAGTGTTTTATGCAAGAGATGCTTGTCATTTTACTATGTGCTAAAATTATAGATTTTTTTGCTGAAAAAATAAAAAAAATTAAAAAAGGAATTGCTTACCTGAGACGCACAGGGCAAATCCAACCACAGCGATTATGTAGCCAAGTGATTTCAAAGCCACCAGAACAACTGCAGATGGGCTTAAATGGTTCTCAAAAACTAGAAGAAGAGGAAAAGAGTCGCACACACTTACTTTTGGAAGTGTAACGAACACAAGAATTATATGATCCATTCAGGACTAGGATCTGGGATTGTTTGAATTTAAGACAACATGCAACAAAACAAATATTAAATGAGTCATTGAGGCCTTCCCTTAAAGGACAAACACTGCAAACAGAAAAATAAATAAATACCCAGACTTGTTCTGCCCATCTCTATCACCCCACCCTCAGGTGTTAGTTACTCAAAGACATTTTACCCTAATTCCCACCTGCCAATCAGCCAATTCCCACCCCCCGGCCAACCAGCCAATTCCCACCCCCCCCCCGCCCCCCCCTTTAACAAGTGGTATTAGGTTAACTGCTTGTTCACTGGAGAGACCAGGAACCAAACACTGTTATAGTATCTAATAATGAATGACAAATATTATAATATTAACTAAAAAAAAAAAAGGTGCTACTTATAAAAAGTTCTGATTTTTCCCCTTGTTACTAGTAAATGATTTCTTACCTATTCCAAGCAGAAGGTACTGTAACGGCAGAAAAATCACAGCAGGGACTACAAGTAAACCAAGTCCAGCTCGATTCTTTGGTGTATACCCATCTGGAGACAATTATACAAATTAGGACAGAAAATCTGGCAGTCATTAAGCACAAGTAAAACAAGTCACCTCTCAGGACCTTCACTCTTGTGGAGCCCCCTCTCAATCCCACAAACTCTGGAGCTCATTACCTGGATCTAATCTCTACATCAGCCAACAGGAAACTAGCTGTAAAGCAGTTACGACAGTATTTCGCTTTGTGCTGCCCTGCAAATCCTAATTGTCCCTACAACACTCTATTTGGTAATTTCATTTGCAAACAAAGTCACAATAACCATATAATTTCAGTAGAGATTAGTTGTTCCAGGTTGAACCTGGATGTCTGGTTTCTGTGAGGACCACAGACACCATATTTATTTGAACATAATCAGCATGGTGTAAAATAGTTCCTTGTCCTATATTCACATACAAGGACGATTCATTAAATATATTGCTTATCATTAAACCGCTGCCAAAAGCAGCACGTGCTCACTATGGAAACAAACTATGAAGTTGACTAAATTAAGCCAACGCTGAGCATGACTATAAAACATATCACCCACATTGGGCAAACATACTGATGGGAACCTACCACAATGCTAGGTTAGTGCAGTCCATCTGAATAAGATATAGGTTTACTGCCCATTGCACACAGTCCTTTCTCAGAGCTGACTTTTTTTCCAAGTCACGGGGAGTCACTCCACTGAATACATTTTGACTTCCTCTTCACTCCCACACCAAAACTGTGACACCCCGCCCCCCCATTTCAAATGATTCCTGTTTCTTCACTAGTCTTAAATATCTGGCATACATCACCAAGTGAGGCCCCAAACAGTTCACCCAGAATCCCTGTCACCCCTTCAGCCTGTTGCATATGAGTAGCAGGCCCTGCCCACCATGAGGTAGAGCTGGACCAGGTTGCCCTGTGCCTTATGTGCATAGAAATTTTGGGAGGATCCCAGGACTCATGAAAAGAACACCTGGTTCCAGTCATGAGTGGGGGACTGTTATAAGACTGTTATAGGAGCAGTGATCCATAAAGACCAGATGTGTGTGACACCAGGGCAACAGATCCATTGAACTCTGCTGCAGCTGCGAGATGTACTACAGTACCAAAAGAGAGAGGACTGAATGCCACTGTGCTGAACCTGAACTGGGAGAAGGCTTACAACCAAGTGTCCCATCAATTCCTGGTTGAGAAACTGAAGAAGTTGGGGGTCCCCTGGACCTTCATTGCCTAGATAAGGATGATATTCACCAACATGACTAGCAGGGTGCTGGTAAATGGCTTCCTGACAACTCTGATCACGTTGGAGTCAGGGGTCTGGTACAGCTGCCTACCCCCCCAATCCTGTTTATCTGCATGATGGAACCACTAGTCCAGCAGCTGAGGCAGGACCCCAGGATAAACAGAGTAGAGATTCCCAGGAGTGACCGGGAAGAAATGAGGGACCTGGCCTAACTGTCACATGCAGTGACAAGTGGTCAGTTGAAAGCCCAACAACCCAACCAGGTATATGAAGCAGTGGCGGGTGCCAAATTCAACTTGAACAAAAGTATCTAGCCTGGCACTAGGTGACCTCAGGGACCTGTAGGCCCTTGGTGTGTCTCTGCTCCCCACAAGGGGGTAAAGATCTTCAGGGTGGAGTTCGACCCAGAGCTAACTGGACAAAAGGGTGTGAGAAAAGACTGAGACCAAAGTCAAGCAGAGACTGGGGCTATGAGAATCACGTTGCAACTAGTACAACTATACACTGCATTGGTTTTCCCCCCTTCAGAGCAAGTCACTATTAGAATTCAGAGAGCTACGTGAGCTTTCTTCTGGGGCTCCAGATGGGAGAAGTCTGCAAAGATCATGCTGTACAAGCCTAAATGGACTGGGGACCAAATAATGCTGGATGCCCTGCTGTTCCTCTGGGCCAAATACAAGAGTCAGATCTGCAAACTGGCAACCAGGACAGAATCCAAAACAGCCCACTTGGTAAGATATTTTACAGGGCACCTCCTGTGACACTGAAGGGTTTACACATTGCCCAAGTCAAACCCATGGACACACTGTGTTTCTACAAGGTCCTGAAACACTTCAGAGACTTTCATCAGTCCAATGGGACTGCCCTGCCTAGCAAGAGGTGGGACGGCCAGGGTGAGGGCGTGTTTATACCCAGCATCGGTGTTGATCTAGTAAAGGATCACCTTGAGAGGCTGGACACCTTCAAGTCAGCTGGTCCAGATGGACTACACCCTAGGGTACTGAAGGAGCTCGCAGGTGTCATAGCTCAATCACTGGCAAAAATATTCGAAAATTCATGGCGCTCAGGTGGAGTACCTGAAGACTGGAAGAAGGCCAGTGTTGTACCCATCTTCAAGAAAGGGCGGAAAGTAGATCCTGGGAATTACAGGCCAATCAGCTTGACCTCAATCCCTGGTAAGATTCTCGAGAAGATTATCAAGGAGACCTTTCTGGACAAGCTGGCTTAGGGCAACATCCTGAGGGATAGCCAGCATGAGTCTGTCGCAGGTAGGTCTTGCTTGACCAATCTCATATTCTTCTATGACCAGGTGACATATCACCTGGACAAGGGAGAAGAGAGTGACATCATATACCTGGACTTTTAAAAAGCCTTTAATCTGGTGTCCCATGACCTCCTCATGGAAAAATTGGCCAAACGTGGCCTCAGCTACACCACAATGCGATGGCTGGGAAACTCGCTCTGTGGCTGGACCCAGAGAGTAGTGGCTGATGGCAGTGAGTCATTATGGCACTCCGTAACCAGTAGCATCCCCCAAGGCTCTGTCCTTGGACCGGTTCTCTTCAACATCTTTATCAACCATGTGGAAATTGGTGTCAGAAGCACACTGGCTAAGTTTGCCGATGACACTAAACTTTGGGGCATAGCGTCCACACCTGAGGACACGCTAATGATCCAGGCTGACTTGGATAAGGTTAGTAAGTGGGCGGACACAAACCCGATGACGTTCAATACTGATAAATGCATGGTACTCCACCTCAGAAAACTGCCCCCACAGCATACTTGTAGGCTCAGCAGTGCTACACTTGCTAGCACCACAGCCGAAAGGGACTTGGGGGATCATAATTGCCCACAAGATGAACATGAGCCATCAATGCAATGATGAGAGGCTGAGAGCCATGGGACTCTTCAGTCTGGAAAAGTGCAGGCTCAGGGGGACCTGGTGGCTACCTATAAGTACACAAGGGGTGTTCATTAGGATCTGGGAGAACGTCTGTTCACCACAGTGCCCCAAAGAAAAACAAGGACCAATGGTCATAAACTCCTATAAGACCATTTTAGGCTGGATATAAGAAAATTTTTCTTTACTGTCTGAGCCCCCAAGACCTGGAATAGACTTCCTCCAGAGTGGTGCAGGCACCTACTCTGGACTTATTCAAGAAACACTTCGATGCTTATCTTGCTGGGGTCCTTTGACCCTAGCTGACTTCCTGCCCCTGGGGTAGGGGGCTAGACTTGATGATCGTCGAGGTCCCTTCCATCCCTGATGTCTATGAATCTATGGAACAAACATGATCTGCACGAGACCCCATCGATCCCGATGAACTACTGTAAGATGCAGGAGGTGATAAGCACAAGAGACATTTTGTTGCTGGTGGAGTTACTACCTGGCAACAGCTGTCAGGCCATGTGGGAATGAATCTTCTTTATAACAATTTTATAAATTTCTCACATACAGAATCTAATTATTGCAGGGCCGTCTTATATTCAGGATGGCCTTATATTCAAGTAAATACAATTATTTCTGCACCTGAGAACAAAGGTTTTTTTTTTTTGTTGTTTACTACCAGATTCTATACAGAAATATTTGGGGGGGGGGGGGGGGGGACTAGAACCAGATCTTTTGTTTAAGAAAATTTTGGGGGGGGGGGGGGGGTGGAAACTAACCCATCATTTGACTTAAATCTTATTTAGCTCCCTGATTATGCTTTCTGTAAAAGCAGCTTTCACTGTCTATATTATATTTAACACTACTCTATGGCTCAACTCTTCTGTCTATGACCACAGATTTCTGGATAGGTAAGTTGAGTAAAGATTCTGAGCACTACACAGACAGATCCTGATGAAACTCACACAGACTAATCTGAAGACATCAAGGGTGCTCAGCCTCTGGGGGCCAAATCTGGCCCACAGAGCCATAATGCCTGGCATGTGGGGATCCCCATGGGTTGGAAAAAATTGGTAGCTGGGGAGAGGGGAAGCTTCACGTGGTAGGGTCCAGCCTTGCGCAAGCCATTGCCGTGCAGCGAAATCAGGACCAGACCCAACCCGCAACATGCCCAGATCGGGGCAGGCTGCTCCCTCCCTCCACGCATCCAGATAGGGGCCACTTCACCCCACCCATCCCCTGGCATCTGATCAGGGCTGGGCTACTTACCATCCAGTGCCCCCCCCCCCCCCCCCCTGCCCCTTTCCCCCTGGCACACCCAAACTGAGACTGCTCCATCTACCCTGCGTGTCCAGATCAAAGCTGTGCTGCCTCCCTCACCCGCCATGGTGCAACTGGATCGGGACTGCTCTGCCCTGCCCCATCGCATGTCCAGATCATGCCCGGGCTGCCCCCCACCCTGCTGAGTCCATATCAGGATTGTTCCATCCCTCCTCCTTCTCTCCCCCACCCAACGCATCTGGATTGGGACTGGGTTGCCTCCAACCATCCCCCACATCAGGACTGGGATCACTCTGCTCCATCCCCATCCCCCGCGTGCATCCAGACTGAGACCTGGTTGCTCCCCACAGCCCCCGACAGACAGATCAGGTTCGGGATGTAGTCCCCAACAGCAAAATGGAGCTTCCTTTTCCAGCCCTGTGTGCCACCTGGATTGAGTCTATCCGCTGAACCTGACACTACCCATCTGGCCCACAAGGTGAAAAGGTTGGGCACCACTGGTCTACATTGTTAAAGTTAATGTTGCAGGCCAGTGTATGGGCTAAACTCATAAGGGTGAGGAAAGAGGTTGCCATCCAAGTCAGTTCCATCTATTTTTTATATATATTTAGCCAGATCTTCTGCTGGAGTAACCAATTAATAACAACTGATACTGATTTTTTTCAGAATATGATATTGCTTTATGCAGTCTGTGAGCTGAACAGAGATCTGCAGGAGACAGCTGTGAATTTGCTGCAAACATGAACTAGATGAAAAACTATTTTTGACTCCATCTAGTAAACTACATACTTGGCATTCAGTGGTGACAAAAGCGCCTCTTAAGAGCTCAGAATTACCCATTAGGAAATCAAAATAGGAAAAACAGATTATAGATTTTAAATGGTGTCCTTGCCAAAAGCCAATGAATTCAAACCTGAATGTTACTTTTATTATTGTTTACCTGATTACTTTATTACGTAGTGATAAATAATCTGTAAAATAAAAACCTTTAAATACCAAAACAAATACACAAGTGATAGCATGTCAACATATTTTAATGGCTTTTAATGTATCTGGGGCTTGAGCCTAAAGCTACTCTACCCACTGACTTGTACTGGAATTCTATATAAGCATAAAATAAAATATTAAAGTCCCTTATCATGTACTTTAATCTGTATATTAAATTGATTCCCTTTCTTTTTCCAATTTCAAAATAAAAATGCTTTCACATTGAAGTAGGAACGTGGTTAAGACCTAGAAATGTATTTTTTGTTTCCTTCTGATATTATGGAAAAATGAGTTTATCTACCACAGCTGAGCTATTAACCTGATTACACAAGTAAGGACTCAAAACATATATATAAGTAATGTTAGTTGAGCAATTAATTTCATCTAAATCCCTCAGACTTTATATGTAAACTTCCTCATGCATATAAGATCAGAGTGTAGGTCAACATTTGTTGTGGAAGTATAATCCACATTTTTTCCTATTGGGTCTGCTCAGGTATTGATGCAACTCTATGTGCAGAATGAAGTCAGAGGAGAAGTTTTGCCATTTCAGTGAAAGCAGGCTCAAATCCAAGAAGAGCAAAATACTGAAACTGAGCACTATTGTGCAAATCTAAGAATCTAGCCTTTTGTCATCACTATTAGTGGATCAAAATAGACAGCAAGCCATCAGCTGAGCAAATGTTGATTAATACTCTTAAACCTAGCACATCATGAGAGAACTTGAGACGCATGAAAGACAAGTGGACTTATTTAAATGTTCCCAGTGTGAAATATTTCCATTTCCAAATGCAGGGCATAAGGCCCATTTGTGGTGTGCAGCATTATGTTATTATTCCATTTCATACAATCTGTTGTTCTGAAAAGAAAAACATGTGCTATGTTGCTGCTGAGCAAATCATACTTGTTTCATGTCACAGATCCTATAGGAATTTTTTGTGGAAACGCCTCTAGTTTTACAAATATTCTTCCATTTTTACAGATTTTCTTATGGCTCATTTGGTGATAGGACAGTCACTACATTGTTCCTACCTAGAATTCCCAATACCTCCTTTCTGACCACTGAAAATTATACCCACATTCCCTCTAACCATTTTTGCTGATAGTACACAAAAATAAGTATTATGCAAAATTAACAAAAAAAAAAAATGAGCAAGCTACTTGCTTTATTTATTTCAGAGGTGCTGACTGATTCAGCTCCTGCAGAAAGAAATGAAAGCAGCTATGTATGCTCCTCCCTTCTGAAAAGCAGGACACAAATGTCTAGGAATGGAAGGATTTGTTGCACTTACCAGGAACTAAAAGAATAGCACCAACAACACCAGCAATTATAATGATGCTTCCTGTAATAATCAAGCCAACCTTCTTTCCAAGTCCAATTTCAAATTTTGATGCTTAAAAGAAAAATGGAGAGAGATACAGGAATAATGCATTAGATACGAGATGTTTTCCACAGAAAGACCTCTTAAATTTAGATCAGTTAGAAAAAAGCATCCCTCAAAAACAACATCTTAATATCGCACACTTTTCCAGTTGCCCCAGTGACACTGACGGTAAAACTTAAGCTAAGCATCTTGGTTAAATTACTAATCTTGCCTTACTGTGCAGCCCAGGCTGAACTTCCACTGTTTGCTGCAATCTAAATCAACTCTTCATAACTCCTCTTGCTAGTTCAATTAAATAAGGTATTCATTTTTTTAAAGTTACACTGAATGTTTTTTTCATGAGATTAGGGCAGTAACCTGGGACTTGAAAAACCTTAGTTCAATTCTCTGCCTAACCACAGACTGTGCGTTTGAACTGATGCTGCCACAGTCCTTTTTAACAGATGAGGAATTAAACTCCTCTACTTGATATAAACTCTTTAAGGTTAAGTTTATTAAAGCGGTGATCTCCAAACTTTGCTGCCCAGTGGCAAACAGCATTAAGGGAGTAATAAGCTGGAGCTAACATCATAATTTCCTGTACCTGTCAAACACAAGTGATATCAGAGAATCTCACAGATATGTTGTCCCCAAGCCACGGACTGGAGACCACTTTATTGAAGACTGTGATGTCCTTGTGCATTACCTTGTAAATACCATAGATCAAATTTTTACAGCAAAACTGCATTATTAAGCACAGACTGCCATCCATTTCAGAAGTGGCTCATTTCAATGGTGGGTTACATAATAGCTATACTTCCGGAGCTTTTGGAAGAAGAAAAGCTGTAACATAATATCATTATCACCAGCTGTGTTTGGTTCCACCCTCCACATTGTTAACAAAACTGCCAGGTAAGCTGGAATTCTACAGGACAGGAAAAGCACAGCTTGATTCTAAGGTTGAAAATTTGAAAGAAAAATCCTGGGTTTTGAAAAGGTAATTTAGTCTTCACTCCTGACAGCTGAACGTAAAAACTAATATCCCACTATCCAAGCAGAACCATGTTTTTGGAGTTAGGAGTAAAGGGATTACATTTTAAAAGTTAGTTCTGCAATAAAATAAATCAGGTATGTTCAGAAAAGGGAGTTTGTAACTAAGCTAAGTTTGTTTTGATTTTGTGCAGTATATAAATAAGCAACCCTATGTCAGCAAAAAATCTCTTATCAAGCAAATATAAATCTCTTATCAAGCAAATATAATAAAAAGTCTCCCCAGCATGACTAGGGTAGAGTGTATATGATAAATCTCTACATTTTTCCTCAGATATCCTTCTAAGTACATTATTATGCAAGAGCCATCTTTTTCACTTGTAACAGGGCCCTAATCCACAACTGTAACTCCTTTACTACTAAATTAAAAATAATTTATTTGGAGTTTTAAAACTATTTCTAATCCTATGTTCTGAGGGTATATAGAATTAAATTAAAATACATTTAAACAGCCAAATGAACTGACAACAATTAATAATTAACGAATGCATTATATTAAATCCCTATACATCAAACCCCTACAAAAAAAATCTACACCTTCCTGAACACCAGGTAAAGGTGAAAACAAGTGTTATGAACCATTAAAGGAAGATACTGTGATAAAGCATGGGGGTGGGGTGGGGTGGGGTGGGTGGAAATCAAAAGAGTTAATTAACATCTTAAGTAAGCACTGAGAAATAGGGGGTAAAATAGTCAACTTAAAAATCAAAGGGAATTTGGTTGATTCAAATTTTCTTCTGTAAAATATCACTGCTCTCTCTCCCAATTTATCTATATTTTACATACTTTAGGATAGCCACCACAGTAGCATCTGATTGCCAGATAATGTGCAGACACATAATATCAGGTACTTATGACTCTGGAACTTAGAAATAATGAAAACATCAAGTCCAAATTGGCCCTGACAAAAAAAAGAGATCAGGAGTCTCAAATTAGCAAATATTTTACTTGCTTCAAAGAGTTAAATATATCAGAATTCACCACCATTTTAAACAGAAAGAAAGTTTAAAATACAGAGCCTACAGTACAGAATGGAGATGTACCGTATAAAATCCAGACATCAAAAGAGTCAACTTTAGGAATTTAGTATCTCTCTCATCGCCACCCAGATTGTTGGTACTGGAAGTATTTTAACACAGCAGATGATATGCTGGTACTAAATTAAACTTAGACCAATTCAATAAAACCAATGTGCAGTGTTACATGAAGAAGAAAGCATCATCTCTCTGCAATAACACTTGTGCTGCCATAAACTGAAATATCTTTCTATTCCTAGGATGAACCATTAATGTCACGGTGATGTGACAACTACATAAAAAAAACAAATCCTTCTTGACATGTTACTTTAAGGATATTAATTACCTACTGTAAAATTTAGAGTCAAAAGACTTTTTCCTGGAAAACATTTGCCACTAGCATCAGTGCTTGGAGTAGTAAAAACAAGACTCATTAGCATTTGCTAGACCGGATCCTAAAAGTCAGCTTTCTAATGTGCTACCAAAACCAGCTTCTATTTCCACCTTTTGAACTTAAGTACTACCTTCTATTATTCCATTTCATGTTGCTGTTTTGTACACTCATGTGATTTTAGTGCTAAAATCCAGTATTTATAAAGAATGAACAGAACTTAATACTCACCAACAACACATAACTGCGCCAAAGAAAAAATAATAGCCAAAAACAGGAAGAGTATGATGAAAACACTTTCTACTGAAGGAAACCAGCTTCCTAAAAATTTAAAGACACAAAAAAGCGAGAGGAAGAGACAGAAAAAAATTAAGTTATTAGATTTATATTCTGGTGCTCATTTTAGCTTATTCTGGGGCCTGCTTAATAATCTGTCTGCTACAAGTTTTAATATTAAAGATAACATCAATTGTCTGATCTTGACCACCCCAGCTGATTTGATAAATATGACAGGCTGCTTCCTACTCATTCAGGATTCCAGTTGCTGTAACTCCCATTCCAGAAAATTCCAGGGGTGCTTCTACACCACTTTTCCCATGTCTAAGCAAAAGCAAGGAATAGCACGCTGTTGGTTGTGTCACACATTTTATTGCAAATGCACACAATACTAATCTCCACATTGATTTCTCCCAGTCACTGACCACTGTTTTCAGTCCTTCATCCTCTGTTGCCTTCTTCTCCCAATATCCCCCCTCTACCACTGAATGTGGCAACGGTGCCAATGGAATGTTGTATCATTTTTGTAAAGTTCATTTATGCTGCTTCTTAGGTATAATGCACAAAGCTGCAGGAGACACCAAGGCACAACACTCCCAGGTACAATCATAAGACTTGGTATACCATTACCTGCCATTCATGCAAAGGGTTGCCTCCCAGGTGATAACAGTAGGCATGTCTACACTTGCTATGAGATTTAGGCTTGTAAGCCTTCCCTGGGAATGCATCTACACGTGCACCCTGTTGGGAGCAAATTTGTGCCTTATGGGAGTAGACAGATCCAGGCATGGTCCTGCCCTGCTCTGCCCCCGTGCAGAAGCCAGAAAGAGCTGCAGGATCCAGCTGCATCTACCCAGGTGCCTAGGGGCTCCAGGGAGGCAGGCTCAGCCTGGCAGCAGGCTCTAGGAAGGGGCAGACTCAGCCTAGCAGGGGTAGAGGACGCTGTCCTGGGAGCCTGTGGCCAGTGCCCATGGACACTCCCCACCCTCCCCCACAACAGTGGTGGACAGGGCAGTGTATCCACAAGGCACTTGCAAACCACCTCCTCCCCCACCCCCTGCAGTAGGGCACCTGGGCAGCCACCCATGGATCCCAGGCCCAACGGGCAAGCTCAAAACCACACACACTATTGACAGTCTCAAGCAACAGTCTTTAGTTCCCTCCCCAACAGTCCCCACAAGTCCCCATTGCTAACCCCACTACCTGCCACCAAAAAAGCACCCGTTTCCCTGTGCAACTATGTACTGTGTGGTGTGTACCCTCCAGGAGGAGGAATGGAGGGATGAAGATGCCTATGGGACAGAGCCCGGGGAGAGGCTCTCAGCACCCCAGCCTCTGGCCACACCACCACAGGTGCAGATGCCATGTTGAAGCCAGTGGGCTGGGTTCTCAGCCACGGGTGGGGGCAGCCACTGTTCAGGCTACACAGCCTGCTCCCCCTCCTCCACCTTGGGGCCTGAAGTCAGCAGGGCCCGTGTGCGGTGCTGGTCCTGCTGTTGGCAGCTCCTGCTCAAGGGCCACGTGACACCTGGGCAAGTGGCAGGGAAAGGCCCAGGTGGGGGACCTGGCTGCTGGGAGACCTGGCTCAGGAGCAGTGGCAGGGAGCCCTGGCTGCTGTAAGTGCTGCTGCACGTCATCCAAAGCCCATTGTGGGGCTTGGTGCTGGGCCATGGGTGGCTGCCAGGGGCATAAGTGGCACTAGAAAGTATTATTTGGGGGAGGCTGGGCAGTGCAGAGAGCGCCCACCTGACCTCACTGCTTCCTCCCGCAGGGCTGTTCTAAGGCCAGCGTGCACTGGTGCTGTGCACGTGGCAGCAGAGGAGTGCACAGTGGCGAAGCACACAGCAGGGTCGCTGGGCACAGCGCTGCAGCGGTGGTGGCAGTGGAGACACTGTCACCGGCTGGGTTTGGGCGGGGGCTAAGCCCCACTCGCCCTGACCTTCCACCACCTATGCCCAGGGGGCAAGCAAGGCTGGGGCCAGGGGTGGCATGAAGGTGACCACCAGGGCCAGGATGGTGTCCAGTAAGGGTGTGCAAAGCGGGCAGTATTCAATTCAGATTCAGCCCGATTTCATAGACATCAGGGCTGGAAGGGACCTCAGAAGATCACAGAGTACAGCCCCTCGCCCCAGGGGCAGGAAGTCAGCTGGGGTCAAAGGATTCCAGCACGATAGGTGTCCAAATGTTTCTTAAGAGTCCAGAGTAGGTGATTGCATCACCTCTGGAGGCAGTCTATTCCAGGCCTTGGGGGCTCGGACATTACAGAAGTTTTTCCATATGTCCAGCTTAAAACGGTCTTGGACGAGTTTGAGATAGTTTGACCTTGTCATCCCTTGAGGTGCCCTGGTAAACAGGCATTCCCCCAGATCCTGATGAACACCCTTTATATACTTATAGGCAGCCACTACGTCACCCCTGAGCCTGCGCTTTCCAGGCTAAAGAGTCCCATGGCTCTCAGCCTCTCATCATAGGGCCTGTTCTCTTGCCCTCTGATCATGCGTGTGGCTCTCCTCTGGACTCAAGCTTTTCTGCATCTTTTTTAAATTGTGGAGCCCAGAATTGGATGCAGTACTCCAGCTGTGGTCTCACCAAGGCCGAGTACAGCGGGAGGATGACATCCTGAGATTTGCTTGAAAAGCATCTATGGATGCAAGCCAGACTTTTGCTTGCTTTAGCAGCTGCAACATTGCATTGATGGCTCATGTTCATCTTGTGGGCAATTATGATCCCCCAAGTCCCTTTCGGCTGTGGTGCTAGCAAGTGTAGCACTGCTGAGCCTACAAGTATGCTGTGGGGGCAGTTTTCTGAGGTGGAGTACCATGCATTTATCAGTATTGAACGTCATCGGGTTTGTGTCCGCCCACTTACTAACCTTATCCAAGAAGGCCTGGATCATTAGCGTGTCCTCAGGTGTGGACGCTATGCCCCAAAGTTTAGTGTCATCGGCAAACTTAGCCAGTGTGCTTCTGACACCAATTTCCACATGGTTGATAAAGATGTTGAAGAGAACCGGTCCAAGGACAGAGCCTTGGGGGATGCTACTGGTTACGGAGTGCCATAATGACTCACTGCCATCAGCCACTACTCTCTGGGTCCAGCCACAGAGCGAGTTTCCCAGCCATCGCACTGTGGTGTAGCCGAGGCCACGTTTGGCCAATTTTTCCATGAGGAGGTCATGGGACACCAAATTAAAGGCTTTTTAAAAGTCCAGGTATATGATGTCACTCTCTTCTCCCTTGTCCAGGTGATATGTCACCTGGTCATAGAAGAATATGAGATTGGTCAAGCAAGACCTACCTGCGACAGACTCATGCTGGCTATCCCTCAGGATGTTGCCCTAAGCCAGCTTGTCCAGAAAGGTCTCCTTGATAATCTTCTCGAGAATCTTACCAGGGATTGAGGTCAAGCTGATTGGCCTGTAATTCCCAGGATCTACTTTCCGCCCTTTCTTGAAGATGGGTACGACACTGGCCTTCTTCCAGTCTTCAGGTACTCCACCTGAGCGCCATGAATTTTCGAATATTTTTGCCAGTGATTGAGCTATGACACCTGCGAGCTCCTTCAGTACCCTAGGGTGTAGTCCATCTGGACCAGCTGACTTGAAGGTGTCCAGCCTCTCAAGGTGATCCTTTACTAGATCAACACCGATGCTGGGTATAAACACGCCCTCACCCTGGCCGTCCCACCTCTTGCTAGGCAGGGCAGTCCCATTGGACTGATGAAAGTCTCTGAAGTGTTTCAGGACCTTGTAGAAACACAGTGTGTCCATGGGTTTGACTTGGGCAATGTGTAAACCCTTCAGTGTCACAGGAGGTGCCCTGTAAAATATCTTACCAAGTGGGCTGTTTTGGATTCTGTCCTGGTTGCCAGTCTGCAGATCTGACTCTTGTATTTGACCCAGAGGAACAGCAGGGCATCCAGCATTATTTGGTCCCCAGTCCATTTAGGCTTGTACAGCATGATCTTTGCAGACTTCTCCCATCTGGAGCCCCAGAAGAAAGCTCACGTAGCTCTCTGAATTCTAATAGTGACTTGCTCTGAAGGGGGGAAAACCAATGCAGTGTATAGCTGTACTAGTTGCAATACCGCCCTCAAGAGGGCACGTGGCTCCCCATTGACAGGCAACGTGATTCTCATAGCCGCAGTCTCTGCTTGACTTTGGTTCCCCCCCTTCCCCCAAGGTGCATTTTTCTGTATTGAATGTCATCAGGTTTTTATCCACCCATTTTCTGAGCCTGTCAAGGTCGGCCTGGATCACCAGCCTATCCTCAGGTGTGGATGCTTTACCCCAAAATTTGGTGTCATCAGTGAACTTGGCCAGTTCACTTCTCACACAAATGTCCATATCGTTAATAAAGATGTTAAAAAGTATAGGTCCAAGGATGGAGCTTGGGGGACACCGCTGGTCGCCAAGCACTTCTGTTGACTACCACTCTCTGGGTCCGACCTCGGAGCCCATTCCCCAGCCATTGGACTGTGATGTAGCCGAGGCCGCAGTTGGCCAATTTTTCCATGAGGAGATCATGGGACACCAGACCAAAGGCTTTTTTAAAGTCCAGATATATGATGTCAATCTCTTCTTCCTTGTCCAGGTGATATGTCACCTGGTCATAGAAGAATATGAGATTGGTCAAGCAAGACCTACCTGCGACAGACTCATGCTGGCTATCCCTCAGGATGTTGCCCTATAGTCTCTTTGATAATTTTTTCCAAGGTCTTCCCAGGGATAGAGGTCAGGCTGATAAGCCTATATTTTCCCAGATCTACTTTCCTGCCTTTCTTGAAGATAGGCACCACATTGGCCTCCTTCCAATCTTAGGGCACTTTACCCGAGTGCCACAAGTTCTCAAAGATCCTTGCCAGTGGCTGAGCTATGATGCCTGCCAGCTCCTTAAGTACTCTGGGGTGCAAACTGTCTGGACCAGTTGACTTGAAGGTGTCCAGCCTCTCAAGGTGTTCCTTTACATGGTCTACAGTGACGTAGGGTATAAATTCACCCTCACCCTGGCTGTCCCACACCGTGGTAAGCAGGGCGGTCCCTTTGG